AAAAAAAAAAAAAAAAAAAAGCTATGTACATCATAGACTAAGTATTCTAACAAAGAGTACTAATATTGAAGGTGATAGACACTAATCTATCAGGGATTATGTAGTTTGAAGAAAAAAAACACAACATAAATGATTATGTTGCTTTTGAACGTGCAAAAGTTAAAAAAAAAACAAAAAACATAATTGATTATAATGTTTCATTTTTCATATTTTTGGAACATCGAATTTTGTACACTTTCAAATCATTTTTAACTCACCAAATTGTAAAGTAAAATACAACTTGTGTGATTTTTTTTTCTCTACTCTTCTTTTGCCCTATTAAATAGAACATTAAGGATTTTGACTTTACTGAAATAAGTTATTTTAATGGAATTTTTTTCAAACACACAATAGATGTCTACACTTAGAGAAATAAAAAGAGATAAAAGATAAGTGATTAGTATGAATGATGACATATATAACTAAAAGAGAGAGATTGACACAAATTAAGAGTGTCAATGGTGTGTTCCAATTTTTGTTTGGGTGTCAAAAAAGTCATCACCCAATTTCAATGGTGAATAACAAAAATCAACTGTTGATATTTTAACATTTGCATGTACATGTAATATTCATCGTTAACTTTCTCGTTGTTAATGGAATTTATTTACTTTATCTTCAAAAGTGAGCAACTCACTTCATGGAAATCAAAGCCCTTTTGCATAAACTGGTTGTTGCTATATCTCAGGTTTCCTAAAGATACAAATCCCCACGCCATAAAAACGGGAACAAAAAATAATATAACAATTCCAAAAGCTTTGTTTATAAAGAAAAGTTGCCCTGCCTCATAAAATAAGAATAAGAACCGCTGCTTTATAACATCCATGTATTTTGTTGTGGGTGCAATACAATATAAGTTAGCAGCACCTGTTTTGTGTTTTGAGCGTTTTCATGGTTAGTTATTTTCTTTCAACATCTAACAATGTCATTTGGTTCGTTCACAAGTAATTTTCATACTTGAAGGTACCAAACATGAAGACGAGACTACTCCTAGGCATGGTTCCAAAATACACGTGAGAAGTTGATAAAGTGAAGTCCAATTCAAAAAAGCAGACAAAAGCCTCGTTTCACGAACATGAAACCTTACATTTCAATTGCTAACTGCTTACTTTGAAAAATAAATAAATATAATAATATATATAACAGACATACAAAAAAATCCCTACAACTGGAACAAGAATTTTCTTCACATGTCGAGATCTTTTTTCTTATTTTTAGTTACACGTGATCCCATTTTTCCGGCACTAGTTAGGTACGTGCGCTAGAATAATGTGATTTTCTTTTTTTGTCTTAGAACGAATTTTAAAAATAAATATGAGAGACCCTTGGGTCCCACCCTATAAATCAGAATGTCTTGGGTAGGTACGAGAACATCTCCGGCCACGGCGAGAGGTGGTTCATTTGGTACTGGGCCTGCGGGGCAAAAGGGTCATCCGACGAGAGGTCCATGAAATTGAACTGAAAATCGAAGGCCGAAACTGGGTCGGGGCCCAAGAAGAGGTCGTTCCACTTGGGCTCGCTCTGCACCTCCTTGTCGCACGTGGCATCCGGCGAAACCACGTGCTCGGAGCAGCTGGAGTCCGTGTGCAAGCGGGGCACCGAATCCGACGTGTCCGTGTACAATTGGTGGCTCCTGAAATCATGGTTAATCTCAGGCTTGGTCTCGTGGTGGAACTGAACCTCTTCATCTGAAAATTTTTCTACTTTCTGATCCACCACCGCAACGCCATTGTACCTCTCGATCTTCCCTTTCTTGTTGTAAATTCGGCACAGCACCCAATCGTCAAGCTGCCATTTCAATAAACACACAACAATTAAAAGACCAAAAATGACATGACATATTACTATTTGGTACTTAACCAAAGTTTGGAATTTAATTAATTATTATCGCCTACCCTTAAGTTGTTGTTGTTGTTGTTGTTTTTCTTGGATGCGGATCTGTCGACGTTGGCTAAGCGATATTCGTGCATGATCCAATTGGTTTTGACTCCTTTAGGGGCTTTGCCCGCGTAGAAGACAAGGGCCTTCTTGATTCCAAGGGCTTTGGGTTTTCCGATGGGTTTGTCGGCTCCGGTGGCTTTCCAGTATCCGGTTCCGGCAGCCCGGTTGGGTCGTGAGCCGTTTGGGTATTTTCTGTCCCTTGGAGAGAAAAAGTACCACTCCTTCTCACCGTAAAGAGCCATTTCTGTACATAATATATTTTAAGCATTGAGTGATAGTCCTTTTCCTTTATGAGTTTCTTTTATTTAAAAAAAGAAAAGAAATAATTTAAGGTACCTGGAAGGTGCCATGGATCAAACTTGTACAAATCAATTTCTTTGATGATGGGCACAGCAATGGGTTGTGCAGCACACTTCCTGCACAAGTAGTGATGGACGAGCTCATCATCGGTGGGGTGGAATCTGAAGCCGGGTGGTAACTGCAATTCACCTTGCATTCGTTCGGTTTGCTTGCGACTTGAAAGTTGAAAGTTGGAAGTTGGGGAGAGAGGGTTTAGGTTAGGCTTTATAGGGCGATTTGGACACGTGGCCCGGTGGAGGAAGGTGGTATGTGGGCAGTGGGCACTGAAGTCTCACGACCTCCTAGGCTCACAAAAGGTGACCGCAGCCAGCACGTGGCCGAACCTCAGTGGAGGGACGAGTCTCAGTGACCCACTCCCGACCTCATTCTGTCATTGCTCACGTCACAGCCCCCACCCCGTTTTGCTAAAATCATTGACTGTTATATTACCGGCTCTGTCTTTTTCGGGTCGACACTCCACGCCATCTCTACACTCACTGCTCCCTGGGTCCTGGGTCCTGGGTCCTGGGTCCTGGGTCCTGGGTCCCCCACCACTTCTACCCTCCCACTATTTCTATTTCACCCTTCTTTTTTATATTCACTTGTTCAGGATCTAATCCAATTCTTCATACGGTGGCCTAACTAACTTTTTCTTTATTACTGTAATACACTCAAGTAATCAACTAAAAAATATTTACTACATGTCTGTACCAGCTTCCACTTGAGTTCAATGCCAATGTTTGGGGGACTCTTTCTATTTCATCCCTGTCAATGTGTGACTCCTATGCTCAGTTCCACCACAAAAGGATAATTCTTCTAACTCCATTTATGGGGTCAAATTAAATCAAAATACAACAGCCAGAACCAAATCTTTCTAAGATCACAATTTGTTCGTTGATATTGATTGATTAAGAAAAATCCTACGACTCATTGATCTCGTTGCAAACGTGGAATCCATACTGCAAAAATTATAACTGTTTTCCGGCACGGCGGATCAAATTTTAAGCACCGCGCCACCAAATAATTCTACTAGAGACCATATTTACAAATATTCTTGAATTTAAGCCAATAAAGGTAAGAGGCAGTAAGAATCGAATACTCAAGTCCCTTATCTCAATGATCGGAAATATTATTTTGTAATATGAGAGTCAATTTGATATTTTTAAATTTAATTTTTTTTCGGAAGAAACAATCTTTTATATTTAGAAGTAATTGATTTTCTATTTATTACTAAAAACCTTTTTCTCATAAGTACTACTCTCTATTTTTTTTTTTTTTTTGTTCGTCCCTGGAGTATCTAGGTTGGAGACACCTCAAAGGGTGGGATAGCTGACCCCAAGATTTAACGCGGCTGCATACACAAGGCAGGATTCGAACCCCTAACCTTGCTTAAGCGTGGATCAACCTCTACCGCTGAACCACACGCTTGGGGTTTCTATTTTTATTTCATAATCGTTTTGTAAATTATTTTTATTTTTTTCATTGTTATTTTATTAAAATTAATGATTTATTAATTTCTTTTTTTTCATTTTTACCCTTGATAATTAATGTGTATTTACTGAACAATGTGTTTATTTATTTCTAATGTCTATCTATTTTTTCTTCAACCACTTATGTAAAGTTAATGTTACATTTATAAGGATAATTATGTTCCCAACGAAATATTACTTATAAAAAAACAGAAAAAGGGATAGCTATTTACAAGACTCTTTAATTTTAAAAAAAATAAGAGACTCTTTACTGTTCACATGTAATAATTAAATGCATTAATAATTAATGGAGTAGATTAAAAAGTAGGTTACAGTTCATATGTGTAATTAAATAAAGTAGGTTACGGTTTACATGTATAATCAATACAATAATAATTAATGGAGTAGATTACGGTTTAACAGTATCAAAAATACAAAAAAAAAATAAAAGATAAAATAAAAAAATAAGTAATAAATATTTTTAAAAACTAAAATATCAATCTTTTCTCTATAAAAAAAAAATAAGGAAGTAATAGTATACTTTTCCTTTAAAATATTACAACACTGATTACTTAATTAAATTGGGTACTGCCATTCTTCAGTAATGATTTGACCATTTAGGTTTAAGAGTCATTGGGTGAATTAACATATCTTTTGAGTCTCGAGAGTTCGAGTATTCAATATTTATGTTTTTCAATAAAAGTTAAAAGTTCAAATTTCCATTTAGACATATAATTGCAGTTGTAGCTCAACGGAAGAAAAAAAAAAAAAAAAAAACACACACACACACACAGAGTACGGTGACCACTGACCAGAACATGAAACATGGAACAGCACACAAATTAAGGAAGGCAGCAATGCGCACACACAAATTATCATGGCACTAATTAATAATGATAAAGGTGAAAAACATTGGATAAATTATTGAGAATTGCATGGTTTAATTGGGCATATTATAATTTGTTTGGCGAGAACATTCTTATCTAGGAGATTGGAAAATGGCTAAACGACCACTGTAGTGCATTTTTTAAAATTTATTACTAAAATAAGGCTGTTTTGAAATAATTTACACTTTTGGGGCTCTTTTATTGGGTGTCGCTATGGGTCATAGCGACACCCATGACACGTGGGTTTTTTTTTTAAGGCTTGATTGGGCTGGACCAGTGTCGTTATAGGCTTGCCCAGTACGCCAAAGTGGCGCTGTGAGCCACAACGCCACATAATTTTTTTTTTTTTCGTTTTTAAATTATTTATTACATTATTTTTTAGTAGGCGCTGTGGCCCAGTACGCCTGAGTGGCGCTGTGGCTCACAGCGCCCCATTTTTTTATTTTTATTTTTTCGTTTTTCAATTATTTTTTACATTATTTTCTTAACAGGCGCTGTGGCCCAGTACGCCTGAGTGGCGCTGTGGCTCACAGCGCCCCATTTTTTTTTTTTTATGTATCCCTAACTTTTGCATAGGACGTATCCTATCGGGTTTTTGATTCTTTTTCAATTAAAACAGAATTAAATTAAATTAAATAAATTAAAAATTTAAATAAACTTATTTTCTAATTAAATAAAATTAAAACAGAATTAAATTAAATAAATTAAAAAATTTAAATAAACTTTTTTTCTAATTAAATAAAATTAAAACAGAATTAAATTAAATAAATTCAAAATTTAAATAAACTTATTTTTTAATTAAATAAAATTAAAACAGAATTAAAATAAATAAATTCAATATTTAAGCAGAAATAAATTAAACGTATTTCAAATATAAATCAATTTTTTTTTAATTAACATAAATAACACAGAATTAAATTAAATCAATTTAGAATTTATATAAATTTAATGACACAGAAATAAATTAAATCATTTATAAATTTGTAATTATTTATTTTTTTAATAAACATAAATTACATAGAAATAAATTATATCAATTTATAATTTCAATATAATTATTTACGAAAAAATTTAAATTAACCAGAATTAAATTACAGCTATTTCAAATATAAATAAAATATTTTTTTAATTAACATAAATAACACAGAATTAAATGAAATCATTTTAAAATTTATATAAATTTAATTTTTTAAATTATAAATTACATACAAAAAGTTTTTAACTGCAGTGCCACGTGTCAGCTCTCATTGGCCAAGCACGCGGTGAATTTATTACGCGCCAAGTGAGGCGCTATGAGTTGCAACGCCTCAAATTAGCCGTGGACACGTGTCAGCCTCTGTGTGGTCACGTAGGCGGTCAATTAATGGGGCGCTATGAGTTGCAACGCCTCAAATTAGCTGTGGACACGTGTCAGCCTCTGTGTGGTCACGCAGGCGGTCAATTAATGAGGCGCC